AAAGAATTAATAGATCAAGAATACGAGTTTTGTTTTGTGTATTTAATATTGCAAGCTTTGGACATTATACTTTCCACAACATCCGAATAAAAAATAAAAATAGCATAAAAAACAATAGCAATTAAAAATATATATAATTAGTGCAATTCAGTTTTTATTTATAATAAAGTTCGAAACATCTGTGTATTTTCCTTGAACACCCAGAGATATAAATAAAAATTATGTAACAAGGGACCTTTATTGCTCCTATATGAAAAGAGGTTACACCTGAAATTTTTCTTTCGAAGATTCGACCCCAAAAAAATACGACAGTCACAAATTATTTGTTAACCTTTTATAGTTAATCGAATTTGGTTTTTTTTTTTTGACGAAACATGGTAACACTCACATTGACAACTTAGACTGTGATTGGCTAAAATCATCAAAGTGTTTCATGTGACATTACAAAAGTTTCGTATATAAATTGAATACTTCAACATTAACATTATTAACATTAATAGGCATTATTGCGGACTCTTTACAAGTTGAAAAAGTTGAAAAGAAAATAAGTAATATAAAAAAAAATATTATAGTATAGTTATAGTAATATATTTTTTATTTTAAAAGTTCATTTTCTTTAGACACTTGATAAAACAAATATTCAACTCGAAAATTTTTACAAAAAAATAAAAAAATTATTATTTTATCTTTATAATAATATGTCTAATCATCTGATATCTTGTGAAAAACGACCCTACATTGATAATTTGTGCCCAAATTCCAATTAAAACATATCGTACTACTTGATACAAGAAAGTCCGATCGAATCAGAGTAATACAAGTTTATTTTGTTATTAGGAATTGGGGAGTTGGGGTCGTGTTATACCATGTTAGTAGTTTAATGAGAGACTTTATAAAGTTTTAATCCGCCAATTTTGTTTTTCGGATAATATCATTAGTATTCTTTTTTATTGTGTATGCACTACTGCATTATGACGTTTATTTCGGTTCTAAAAATTTTTTTGTAATGCATATGCTTATCTTTCGAAAATTGACAACTCCAATTCAAATAAAATAAATAAAACATAAAAAAAAAAAATTATTGAAATTAAAACTTTTTTTTTTTAAGAGGACATCAGATTATATATATATATATATATATAACAGTCAGATATTATGGAGAATTCAAATAATGATATCAAGTTACGACTAAAAATTGAACCTGTTGTTAATAGTACTGACAAAGTTCCATATAACAATGACAAAGATAAAGAGAATAGTGGAATAGTATATGGCAAAACACCTAATGGTCTTGGCATGTATATAATATATATTTTTGATATTTATATTTATTGTATTTTCTCATGAAACTGTTTTTCAAAAATAATTTAGAACATTTCAAAAAAAAAAATAAAAAACAAATAGGAAATGTGAATGTGTAATAATGAACGTTTTTCTTTAATAGTAAAAGGATTAAAAAAAATGACTAAATCATTTACTAAATTATATATTCTTTTATTATTATTATTCTTCTTGTTATGATTATTATTATTATTAGTTTTCAAAGTTCCGCACACATCAGATGTGTTAAACTCATTTTTTAAATTAAAATCGAGAAAATCCACATTTGATCTAATTACTCTGGTGGTGATAGGTTTTGAAACCTTATTATTCTTTATTCTTCCATCATCTACGAAACAATGGGTTTTTCTATTTCTCTTTATTTTCTGGAGAACCGCATATGACGTGGGACTCGGGATTTTATTAAAAAATCAAAGTGAAAAAAGAAATTTGGTTACTTTGGCAAAACGGGCGAAAATCTTTGATAAAGAAAAAGGGGGAAAGTTACGAGATTTTATTAAAAAGGAATTAAGCATTAAGATGGGTGATGATTATGATTTCGATGTAAAGAAAAAAATTTTTTTTTTTTTGAGATTACAACTTTCTTGATAATATTTTTATTTATTTTCTTATTTTCGTTCTCGTTCTAGACTGTTCCACCGGAATTCAACACTTGGCTTTTATTCCGTCAACTTGTTGATCTCATTCTTTTGAACGATTTCACCACTTATGCATTTTTTGCACTTTCCAATTTCAGTATACCGGAAAATTCTGGTTTAATTATTAATATTCTTCGTTGGGCAGGAGGCTTGTTCTTATTATGGTTTAATATTTGGGTAAAAACTGACGCTCATCGGGTAGTTAAAGATTTCGCTTGGTGTAAGTTATTTTTTGAAAATTTTTTTTATCATCATATTTTTAATTATATTTTTTTTTAATATATATATATTTTAATTAATTTTATACTTTTTGATAGATTGGGGTGACTTCTTTTTCCTTGTTGATCAATCACTTACATTTGATGGTGTATTTGAGATGGCACCACATCCAATGTATTCTGTTGGATATGTTGGATATTATGGAGTATCCTTGATTATGTCTAGTTATATCGTA